AAATATGTTATATATAAAAATATATAAATATGAGCGAACTAGTATTAATATATTTTAAAATATTAGTTTAATTTTTTATTTTATTTATTTTATTTTATTTTGATTATTTTTATTTATTTGTTTATTTATTTATGTCATTTGAGTATTTCTTTTGCCTTTGGTGCTTTGATATTACATATATTTCCCTTTCTCCTCGCTCATTTTTGCCCTTATTAACCTATGCAGTATTTATTGCCATTAAAAGGCACCCTCTACCCACTTCATTAACGCTCCTCAACATGGCCTTAACACGTTTCGACTCAATCTTGAGTTGACTCAGTCACTAAGAGTCATATTATGCATTTGGAATGTGCGTAATTTGGTATTTTTGTATTTTATGTTGCTATTGCTTCCTATTTACAGTTATTGCTTTGTCTTTGTAGCTGTTGTTGTTGCTTGTTGTCGTTGTCGCTTTCGATGTTGTGTTGTCTCTTTTGAGGCTTTTGTTGCGCCATGGCTTACTTTTGTTTTCATTTCGTTTGGCTTCGCTGGTTGGCGTCGCTTTTGTTGTTGCTGTTGTCGTTTTTATTGGCTCGCCAAACCAGTTGAACATCTTGACGCACACACACGCATACACACACATTTACACATACAAATGGACGGCAGCAAAGAGTCACAGCTGTTTGCCATTTGTAGCTGTTTCAGTTATTGCGTTTTTCACTGTCTTTTATTAACTGTTCCTTTTGTTTTATGTCTTTGTGAACTTTCGTAGCTTATTAGCAGACGAGCAACAGCAGCAGCAGCAGCAGCAACAGCAACAGCAACAGCAGTTGGGTGCAGAGCTGAGTGCAATGTGATGGAGGCAAAAAGTTGGCCATAAATTTTTAATAACCATTTGTGCTCGACTGCAAACGCAAAGTGTTCAGCAGAAAAGAAAATACACTGAATGCTGCGCAGAGTAGAGCAGTGAGAGCGAATGCTTAATGAATTTACTTAATATCACAAAATCTAATCCAATTAGCAAGTTTATAAGCTCTCGCCCTGCAGGCCTGCCCAACTTTTTTATTTTATCTGCTCGAGTTGCTGCTCATTAAAAGTGTCTACGGCGAAATGGAACACTGATTCATTTCAGCAGGGCGCCAGCCCCTAGCCACGCCCATTTTGTCGTCCAGATAGTGTCAATTTCAATAAAAATTGATGATGAAGCAAAGTGCATGAAGTGAAAAAAAAAGAAAATGCGTTAAACTTTATTGCAAAGCCCTCGAGTGACAAGCGAACGGCAAGGGGTGGGGGGCAGGAAAAGTGCCGTTGAACAAGTGAAAAGTGGCGGGAAAAGAGAGAAGGGGAAGGAAACAGGCAGCATCGATAAGCACGCAGCTGGCACAAGTTTAAAGATTTGATTTACAAAGCACTCCTTCTCGCTCTCGATTTTTCTATCTCTGTCTCTCTGTGTCTCTGTCTGTCTGTCTGCTCGATGGCGCTTTATGGGAGTGGACATGAATGGATAAAGTTACTGCTAGTTAAGCCCAGCTCCATATCCGATTCATGGCGTTGATGATGAAATGTTAGCATTGCTCTTGATAAATCTATTGATGCAGCAGCCACTGAGCAAACAGACGATGAGCACAACTACTGAGCACACAATCGATTCTACGGATTATTGTTTTCACACTGCATTGCAAATGTGCGAAGACAATCTTAATTTACTTAGTAATACATGTTGGAGTAAGCCAATTTGTGGATAGGTTCTCTGTCTTATACGAGTTGACCTTACCTATGGCTTTGTTACCTAATATGAAAGAAGTATCTGTTCGAACTCGTTTCTTTCTTTGTCTATTCGATTCATTTAACTAAAAGCCCGAAACACCTTAGCATTTTTATTGAAGTTTAATGTAAAGTTTAGTACATATTTTTATCTTGTTTCTGGTTAGTAGTTTTTATATCTTAGCATACCTCGAAAACACGCTCTATGTAAAATTATAGGAGAATCTTTGTCATATAGATATTG